ACTTGTTAGTGACTCACACAGTCATCATCACTTGTTAGTGACTCACATAGTCATCATCGCTTGTTAGTGACTCACACAATCATCATCACTTGTTAGTGACTCACACAGTTATCATCACTTGTTAGCGACTCACACAGTCATAATCACTTGTTAGTGACTCACACAGTCATCATCACTTGTTAGTGACTCCCACAGTCATCATCACTTGTTAGTGACTCACACAGTTATCATCACTTGTTAGTGACTCACACAGTCATCATCACTTGTTAGTGACTCACATAGTCATCATCACTTGTTAGTGACTCACATAGTCATCATCGCTTGTTAGTGACTCACACAGTCATCATCAGTTGTCATATGTAGTTACCATCACTTGTTAGTGACTCACTCACACAGTCATCATCAATGTTTTGTGATTCACACATTCATCATCATTTATTAGTGTCTCATACTGGTCTCAGCTTTATATGATTTCAGTCTTGATCAATCAAATTGTATCCCAGTAAATTAAATTCCATGTCATAAAACATTTCTAAGAGCTGTTTTTGAAATCAGGTCATACAAAAACGAAAACACAAATGGCATTGATTAACTCATAGAAACTTTCAAAAATGCTGTTGGCCTAATTATTATCAAAGATGTTCAATTGATGTTTGAATAGCTGTAAGTTTAAATAATTTAACCTAATAATTCATTATAATTTTCCATGATAGATTTAATCAATTTCTCTTTGTAAGATCATAAATGACAAAAACAGCTACTGTTAACAACCTATAAGTTCTCTAAAAATTGACTGAAGAAATGTCATTATATAGGATTTGATGTTTCATTTATAGTAAAAGGTTTTAACATGCAAAAGCTCCTAACATACTTCAATACAAACCCACTGTTGCAATAAATATGAACTTGTCATAACAATATTATCTCCTTCTTCATATAATGTACATGTAGCTTTAACGATTTGAGCAATACCTTTACAATTGTTCTAACATAAAAGTAACAGAAACAAACCTGTATCTAACATGTCTAAACAATTTCTTCATGTTGGTAATTAAGTATGGATTGTGAAAAGATTCATTAGCACAACCAAAAAGTGTAACTAACATGTCAGATTTACCCACAGAAAAAACTGGCATACAATCCTTGGTGAACGTTTAGCAAAAACAATTTATAATGTACAGTAGGCCTACAGATAACAATAAATGGTTATTAGCCGAATTGATTAGTTAATACAATACAATACACACAATGTGTGTACTCATATATAACTAATAGGCTATCTGGACAGGAAATCGTTTGAACAACCTGATCACGGTGTCTTGTGACCGTTTGCCTGTAAGCACGACGCCATTGTCGTACTTATAGGTGACCATTGGGGATAATGTCACTTCCCCGATCAATAGCGATCAATCACAGCTAAACCACTGCAGGCGGCACCGACCAAATGTTGAACGATGCAATGCAACTGAGTGGATAGCAGACGGAGATATATATACTCTTGGGTTTAAACGCACTTACCGTCGTATCTGCTTCCGAGGTCTTGTCTGTTTGCCATAATGTTTTGGTGGCTATAAATAATATACTTGAACGCACTTCATATGGATAATAAAAGTCATTCTTGTGTTGTGACAGTTTCTAGCCATTCATCCTCTGGCAGCTCTTCAATGCTAGAGTTAAAAATAACCTATACCAGGAAGTGCGCCTCGTTTTGAAACTGAAACTGGATTCACTCGCGCACACACGTGTTTAGATAAATGTACATAAACATTTGTGAAGCATAATGCGGGACACACCATTATCGAATTGTGAGCGAGAATTCATTAGACAAGCAGTTATTCAAAAGAAGGTAATTCTAGTTCTGTTTGCTACTCGGCAATAATCATATCCCATTATATAATTAGTTGATTGATAAAATTATTTTGATTGGAAATTTTACTAACGACCCTGGTGAGTGCCGACAGGGACCACAGGGGTTCGTCACAAATGTCTGAAATATACATATGCTATACTGATATGGGTCGCAGTACAGTTTGTAACGAACCTCTGTGCATGGACCGATGGGTCGGCTTCGTTGAGTAAATAAACAAAAGACAACTATGTTACAGAAGGATACAGTTGCATATATAGCCTAGATATAGTTACAATGGGTCGGTTTCGTTGAGTAAATAAACAAAAGACAACTATGTTACAGAAGGATACAGTTGCATATATAGCCTAGATATAGTTACAATGGAATCACAGGGGTTCGTTACAAATGTCTGCTATAATGATATGGGTCACATATATGTGTGCTGTGACCCATATCAGTATAGCATATGCGTATTTCAGACATATATAACGAACCCCTGTGATGCAATTGGAGATATTGAATCTAAGACAAAAGGTTAACTAACAGCAGAATTTTGATGTATCTGGTAAAAAGTTTAAAAATTGTAAAAGATTTGAATTGATTAGGTTGCCTTACAAGTGTGATGAATGTACATATCGTAATCTTACCTTCGCTGATTTAGCATATTATTCAGGTTAGATACGTTGATCTGTTGGCGTTAATCATTTGTGTTATGTCTCCGTAATTCGAACGCTTAGAAGACAGATAGTTTTCGAGGTACAATCAAAACGTACGTGTGATTATACCTCACTCACCGCTAGGTGTCGCTAGGATAGCAAGAGGGTATAAATAGGCAGAATCCAGCGACAATCGGCCAGTTCTGTTCTGATCTCGGCGTGTGTACAGCAGTGAAAGATCACAAGTACCTAATATATGCGAGACCGGCTTTGTGTTGGAAAGATAGATGTGACTGGGTAAGTCTTGCCTTGATCCACACACTGCCTGGAAGATATATTAAATAAAAAATTGAGTGCTGTAGCGGGATACTGTTAGACAGAAGGTGTCACGGGCATAGTCTGTGCAGTGCTAGTCGCGACTAGGCTAGTCGTGACTAGGTATACTCGTTGGTGCTAGTCGTGACTAGGGGTAGTCGCGACCAGGCTAGTCGTGACTAGGTATAGTCGTTAGAGCTAGTCTTGACTAGGGATAGTCGTGGTCATTAGAGAGTGACGTAGCTGTATTCTAGTATAAGGCTGTCGTGATCGGCGCGACTAGGTCATATAGCTAGGTAGTTGACTATAGGGCAACTATAGTGACTAGGGCTAGCCGCGACTAGGTAGTCGAGTTGTGTCCTGCCTGAATTGTACGGAAGTGTGTGTAGTGTGTTATATTCATACAGAGCAGATAGCTTTGGTATTAGTTCTATAGTCGGGCAGTAATTATTCTGTTCATATCATGTATTAAGTCTTAGGTAATAGGTATGCTGGTTACAAGGTAGTAACACATATTTGTATATATTTGCAACTGTAGTATAGTTATAATTAAGCTTACAGCACAGGGATCCTTAGAAGTGACTAGGGTACGGACCCCGGAACGTTACACAAGTGTCAGCTGTAGAGCATTATAATGGATAGCCAAGGGTCGCAGGTTCGAGCCCCAGCGACGGCACTATCTTTATCACTATTCCACATGCATTCGACTACGAAATAGCTGTGTACCTATGAAATTGTTTTAAACAGATGATGAGAAGAATTGATAAAAAAAAAATGATAATTGCATAAAAAATAAACACACAATTTTGTTACTTTGAGAGGACCTTGATCCTTCAACAGGAGATTTCTGGTATTAGTACATATATGCATTGCAAGTTTCTGTAACAGGAAAGAGAGTAGTGTGCTTTCACTGGGGATCGAACCTGAGGTTCCTAAGCGGACGCTCTAACCACTGAGCTAAGGCCTACATTAAATTATAGTTTGTTACCCCTTTACCGACCCAAATCATGGGTAGGGTAGGGAAATTACTATATCTTTCAATTTTGTTTTTATCTATACTCACCTGTAGTAATAACTTAAAATTCAAACAGAATACCAGTAGTACAATTAACAAAAATATAAAAAAAAAAATATCTTTCTAGAAATTAAATGTCAATAAAATATTTTGTGTAGGGGATATTTTGGTGGTCGGTATAGGTAAAGGGGAAATGAACAATATTTTATTTTAAGGCCTAAAGGGAAATTCCCTCTATTGGAAAGGCAACAGTATGTACAATTAAAATCTGCCACATATATATGTATGTGGACACCTCCAATACAAAGGGAATATTGAATAGATATGCAGAACCAGTGTTATTCTTGTGTCAGCTAGAGATCTCCGATAAGAGACGGAGAGCATAAGATATCGTGTCGTATAATGTTTTTATGTACAAAGGGAGGAATAAACGTACAAGGCAGGAAGCCCGGAGCAGCAATTAAGATATAGGTATCAATTAAATTTACCGGATTCTAGATCAGTTCTTGCTGTATCTAAAACTTAAAGCATTCATTTTGAGGAAACTGTGTTGTTATCCAATCCTGTATGAGTCTTAATTAATCCAACTCACTTTTAAACTCAAATCCACTGCTTTTTTTCACCAAAATCTGTTTTTATATGAACCTTTCAACTGATCAGTAGAATAAGGCCATCTTTACCAGTGGTGCCATCTAGTGCATCATATGTAACTTAAGGGTTCTCCACAACCTTAATTAGATCTTTATCAGCTCTGCTTATTTATGACTCGTACTTTTCCTCCATTTTTGTATGTAAATCTAGCCTTTCAGTTTCATGTCTTTTCGACTCTCCCATAATGCCTGTAAAAAATGATTGCCATAAAATAATGAAAACCGGAACCCATATTGCTTTCTATTGCATAAGAATGATGGTTGTGCTAATATAATATATTGGTGTGCTAATCAGGTAAACAAAATTGCTAAAAATATTTACTAAGCTAAAATACCGGTACCTGTACATTTTCAGTAGCTGTGGAGTTGATCTGTCCTTCAAATGATTTTTTTTAGTACTAGTGCCCCACCTAACCAAATATTTACACAACAAAAAGTCTGGCAAATCAAAAAAATATAACAGTCAAGTGTTCTAAACCTGACCTACAGTTATCAATTTATGAAACAGTAAATTGGTCCATAATAATAAACAAATCATAGGAATTTACTTTTCTTCATAGAGTTAATTACATACTGACAATAAAAATTATTCTGTAAGGCCCAAATGATGCCTAACAATGATACTGTCCACTGTTGAAAATTCTATAATTCTTTATAATGGAGTAAAGTCTGTTTCAGAGAATCGATGGGAGACAACCATTCGACTACAGAAGAATCAGAATCAAGTTTGGTACTGACAGGGGCAGCTGTTATGTCGAACTTGGTCAAACAAGGTAAAGGAAAGTGTTATTGTGTTTTAGTGGTTTTAAATGGTATTACCATGGAGAGCAAAAAGATCATATGTGTCAACCTGTGAAACCTCTAATGAGGGAGATCTCCCTCATTCCACATTTCCATTGAGGGAGAAAGTGTGTGAAATGAGACTAAAACTGCCTTGCTCAATTTATCTTTCCCTTCCTATGTATCAAAATAACTCCAAAATGCATTTAGTTGATTCAGACACACCTGTTATGATCATTACACACACCCTGCAGTAACTAGGAGATCATTTGACCACAGGATGTAGATTTTGTGTTTGTGCGAGTTTGGGCTTGAATGATGGAGTTTCGAGGGAGATCGGTAATTTTTTGTCAAAAAGAGGGAGTCTCCCTCCTAATGAGGGAGGGTTGACAGCTATGGATCATTGTGTTTAGGAGCTGAGAGAAAGTTAATTGTGTTAATTGGTTTGGCTTTTTACAGACATTTTACAGTACAGCATTACAATGAAGTTGAGAACGTTGAAAATGTATAATTATAAAAATAAGATGATCACATATGTTCTCTGAAAGCTGATTGTGCTGCCCACTGGACATAAACTTGATCTCTAACATACATTTGCTGAAAGCTGCACACAGCTGTAGATGTTAATTTTCTTCAATTTTTCTACTGCAGGGTATTTGCTCAGGTGTCTTGTGAGCTGTGTGCACCAAAGCCCACCAGGCCCTCGGATGGTGTCCTGTTCATCAATGTAGAGTTGTCTCCCATGGCATGCCCATCATTTGAGTCAGGAAGGTAAATATTAGACTCTTGAAAGCAACATCTATTGTATGTAGAACTATACAATGTGACAAAGGGTTTTTAAACGATTCTTACAGAATGATGGATCCCGGAGCTGACATTTTCATGGGCATATATTATAAGCACATTTTCTATGATTACATTTTCCAGCAAGCTCCCAAAATCTATTGGAAACAGTTCAGAGATATCACTCAAAATAGGACTAGATTGTGAGATCTTGAAAGAAAGATGCAATTTCAGTTATTACCATTCGGAAACCAAATTGTAATTTAAATTATTTCAATTTGGAAATCATTCATTTTTCTAAGTTCTTGTTTATGTGCAATCCTAACATTTTTACATGGTATCTTTATCTAGAGAAAGACAGAAACAGAAATGTGATTATAAGTGAGTCGGTGTATGTTGTTTTGTTTAGAAGAAAGTAAAATGTTCAGACGTGAATACCCAGACACCTTAATATATTGATACAGTTATCATTTCCATTTCTTTTTCAATTCTGGTTCACTGATAAAACAAATATGACTTGCAGGATGTCAGAATTGGGTGTTGAGATCAACAGGCTTCTGGAGCGATGTCTGAAGGAATCACGATGTGTTGACATGGAGTCACTCTGTATCATATCAGGAGAGAAGGTACAACCCATTATCTCTTAGACTTTGTGTCACATATGAGTAAAGAAGGTACCCGGTACACTCATTGGTTGTATTCTCTTTAACATGTATAAGACCACCTGCACACATCTGGGCTAATTAATAAAAGCTGAAATAACCTGTTTCATATTTAGAAAAGGGGACAGGAACCAGCGCCTTGCTTCTTTACGGTGACATATCGGGTTCATCATCCAGGCGTGGATACCTCTACGTATAATTAGACATATGAACATAGAGGTGCAATTACAACACAACCTGATGTACTCGGTTCACGGTGCTTTATTTACATTTAACGTCAGGTTGTGTTGTGATTGCACCTGGTTTCATATTTGTTTTAAAATAGATAAAGTTTATATATTATAGTCATAGATTCAACTTGTTCAGCACAACATTCACATGATATAAGAAATCTCTATATCTCTCATACCATTGTTAGTTGCGATACGTGTACTTGACTAGAAATCTGAATGATATATATATAATGATTAATTTCAAGAAAAAAATCTGAACTGACGGTTAAAGACTTGAGAGTGATCACAAAATAAGTTTCTGTATATACAGATACATCAGTGGATTTTATCTTCGCAGGGCTTTCATCAGTTGACCTTTGACATTTAATCATTTCTGAAGTCAAATCACCTTTTTTTCCTGAAATTTGTAGGGTCATAAACATGTCAAATAGACTTGTCCTTTCAATCCCAAGAGTCAATTAAACCTCATTTTGGGAAGTCAAAAACATACTCTCCATGTTCTAATTATGAAAGCCCAGTTTCACACAACATGTTTAGCTTTCCTGGCGCAACGAAAGAACCTGTTACCTTATGGTGCAGCACCTTTGCGTTGTTATCAAATTTATGTTACTTATATTACTGTCATGGAAAATATCTTTTCCTTCCTTTTACCATTTGTTTTCCTCAAATTTTATTAGAATATAGAAAAAACAAAATATGTGATAAACATTTGTTTGTTATGACAGGTATGGCAGGTGAGAACAGACATCCATGTGTTGAATCACGATGGGAATATCATAGACTGTGCTAGCATAGCGGCCATTACAGCCCTCACTCACTTCAGGTGTGTACATCCTTATCATTTAATTGAGAATTTAATAAAAAGGTTGAAGTATAAATATGTAGTCTAAATTAAAGCTCATAGACTCCAAAACGATACAATATTAATATAAACTTTATTTATTTCATTAACAATTATGAAACAATTTATTTCAACTTATATTAATCACTCCTGTTGGCCCAGATGTAAGCGTGCATAGGGTCTTAATGTGGAAGGAAACCGGAGTATTCGGGGGGGGGGGGAAACCCACGTGGTCTGCGGGCAGGTGACCTTTTCACGTCCGATCGGGGAATCTAACCCCAGTCGCCTTGGTGAAAGGCGAGTGCGCTATCCACTGCACCACCTGACCTCAATATTATACAATATTAAACTGTCTGATTTAATAACTTCACATTCAGGTTCAGCGTTTCAAAGTTTTGAGACATTCCAAGAAAGGAGTGGGATGGTTTATCGTCTTCTTGCGCCATTTAACTCTGAGGAGGAAGCCAGAGCTTTGATAAATTAGGCCATACCCAATGTGTTTTCCTTTGAGATCACTTACTTCCATAGAACTAGATATTGTTTTCTCCTGGTTTTGTTATTCTTTTTAAGAATCTTAAAGATATTTATGCAAACCGGAGGTATTGAATGTCAGGTAACAGAAAACAGCTTTGGAAATATATTTAAAGGAAAGCTTTTTGAATTTTTTTTTTTTTTTTCAGAAATCTTCTTAATCTTAATTTTCTTGCTCTTACTAATTAAAAATAGCAAAGTATCAAGAGATGTGTGATTTCATGTTGCCTTATGTACATATATGGTTCCAAGAACATGATATTATGTTTATTTATGACCGTAAATTTCTCTGTTTTTAAAATGATCTATGGAATATCTGTCAATTTACAGGAGGCCTGATGTTACAGTGGATGGTAGCAATGTAATAGTGGTGAGTAACTGCTCTGAAAATCAAAAATATAAAGACAGCTGTGTGTAAATACTTGATCCCAAAACACTACGTATATTGATATTGATAGAGCAGGCTATATATCTCAGCATTATTTAGTCACTTTAGGACGATTCTAGTTTCCATATGTAATACATGAGTATCAAGAAAACATGTTCATCTGTCCCAATGCTGTTTATTACATGGGTTGAAAGTATTGAGACATATGCACATTATGGTGAAGAATGTATTTGAATACAAAAGAATGCAGTGGAAATGGGACTAAAATAAATGAAACACTGTATTTTTAGTCATTTTTAGCATTAGTCTAGAGAGACATACATGACATTTGATTTGTGATTTCAGCACCCGGTGGAGGAGAAAGATCCCATCCCTCTCAGCGTACATCACATGCCTATCTGTGTGTCATTTTCATTCTACGAGCAGGGGTAAGTGTCAGGACACTGAAGCTTGTTGTCGTCCCATTCTTCAAGCATGTCATCGGATCAAAGTCCTGTTATGTAAATATGTTTTATTCAATTCTGGAAAATAAAGCTTTACCTTTATCAATGAAATAGACATAGTATTATCTTTTAACTTAGGCCCCTTTCGTGTATCCTGTTCAACCGGTTAAGAAAACGACAGGTACAGATCTGAACTGAGGCTGACCTCAAGAATATTCAAAAAATTTAGATTGAGAGGTCAAAACGTACCTGACCGAAACTAAAATGATGACTATTGCTAGTTTGCGTTATTTATTTCTAAAACAATGTCAAGTCACATGTAGTTTTTAAGATACGTTATGTAATTCAGTTGACATGTGTATAATGAAGGGCATAATATTCTTGATACATTGTTATTTATTCTCCGAAACGGTGCATTTTCAGCTCTGCTTATAGAACGGTCCAAGTGCGTTTATTGTTTATTGTGGAATATTTCTGCACCACCTGTACTGTTTCAACCGGGATACACGAATGTAACCTTAACAATGCTGCTTAGCACTGCCTGATTACTAAAACTTTCCTTGTAGGAAATTTTTGTTGGTTGACCCGTCGGACAAAGAAGAGAAAGTGATGGATGGAAAGATGGTGATAGGGATGAATAAACATCGTGAAATCTGTACACTACAAGTGACGGGACAGATGTTGCTTCTCAAAGATCAGGTATCAGTTGTATTATTGTTTTGAAAATTAATGAAAATGTTCAATATCGGTTGTATTATTGTTTTAAAATTAATGAAAATGTTTAATATTTGTTTCATGAGGTTATTGGAATTTGTTTTGAAGAACTTTAACAGGAAACTTGGAGAAAACCCTTTACTGTGAAAATGATGTCAAGAAACTTTTAGACATAAAGTGCAGATCTCAAATACATGACAGAAGGGAGATAATCACAATTGTATGAAGCCAATAGCTCATTTAGGATATTAAAACCTGAAACATAAACCCTGTGAATTTGTTGCCTTTATGATGCAGAGTAATTTAGGTATAGCGACAATGAATGGTATGGCATGAAATATAGACCACACTTCTTGTAGTAATAAAGTGCTGTCATTGGTATCTCTAGGTCCTACGGTGCTCAAACATTGCGGTGGTGAAGGTGGCAGAGACAACTGATTTGATTCATAAAGCTCTGGACAATGACAGACAGGCCAGGTATGGTGTTTGATAAGTTCTGTTAGGATGGACTGTTATTTATTGTATACTGTATAGGGCTTTAAATTTGCGGGGTCAATAATTCGCGGTTTCGTATTCAGTACATATCGCTGTTTATCCCAATCCCATGTGTTTTTTTGAGTGTCATCATTTAAGGGTTAAACCTTGAAATACAGGTAAACCGTTTGAAAACACTCATCCCGAGCGTCGTCATCCACCAGTGACTTCACTCGAAAGAAAATCAAATGTGTATGTAGAGTAAACTGGAACCAATTAATCACCTGCTGTGTGCACATAAATATGTGGTGACCATTTATTAAGTGTTAGTTTCTCAAGGACTGCCCAGTCATCCAGTGATAATCTGATTTGAGTTCATTTTGCTTGCATAACAGAGTTGGTTTATGAATATTTTCAACATGTTGTGATAAGATCCATAAAAGTGGTTAATATTATCGATAATTTCTCTGGTGTTAAGAATTCGCGGATATTAGTTGTAGTATGCAAAGCACGAATATAGCGAAATTAAAATCCCCGCGAAATATTACCTCTATACAGTATTTAATGTTAAGCCCACAAAAATTTCACAGGAGTTAGTAAAACACTCCTCAGATTTAATCCGTCAGAAAAGTCTTGTGACAACATTTTGAAAACAGTTTTTATGATGTATATAGATCAATGACCCTACACAATCCTAAATAGAATTGTGATGTGAAGTCTCTTCATACCATATATCAAGTTCTCAACCCAGCCAGTTTGGATAATCAGAGTGATTATAATTATGTAATGTGTTAAATTTATAGAAATTCAAACTTGTTCATCTATTAACTGGCAACTGAAATTGGATTTAAAGACATTTTGTGGTTGTTTTTTTCTGCAGTGAGGTCATCTTGTTTCAGATATTTACTAGAGTCAATTTGGTGCTTTATAAAGGCCCCTTCCCCTAAAAACGTTTTGCAGTATTTTCTCAAAAATAATGCAAAATCTGTTCATTTTCCTAAAATCATGCTTTTTGTATGTGATATGCTCCCAAAGTCTTAAGGCAAAGGCCTCTGTGGAAAGTACCGTGGCCGGTTAGGTAAAAACTTCACCTCGTAAACCTACATTTTGTATTGATGGGAGATTGTGATCAAATTCTTCTGATTAACTCTGATAGACATTAGGAATTTATCATCTGTACATTATTATTATCATAGTTACAATTTTTTTAATAAAACATGACTTTAATATGACAACTTAAAAACACAAGTACTGTATGACTGTCTTCTGTGGTATTGTATTCTAATATGCTTGTAGGGCGAAAGGTGAAAAGTTTGGATACACAGATTCTGTTGCCATGGATACCATCACGACCAATGAGATGGAACCAGAGGAAGTAGATATGGATGAGGTGGAGGAAACAGTTGCCGCCTCACTTCAGTCAATCAGAGAATCAATGACTGTCATCTCAAGTGAATCGTATCCTTTGTACCAGTCACTTATGATTTGTTAGATGTCAGAACGAGTTGGTTTATATGTTAAAAGCCTGATAATTGTGATAGACTTCAGTTAACTCCCTTTGTCATTGTAACATGAGCCGTTTTCGTTTATCGCCGTCCAAACGGTTTTAAACCGGTTGGACCAGAGTTGTTAGTTTATGAAATATGCTCGGACCCAGTAATCTGATGCTGCTTTCATGCGAGCCTTGACAAAGCCTTGCAAGGCCTGCATAAACATTTGCAGGTGTGCCAGGATTGTTACATTTAAAAATGGACGTACCAGTTGTTTCGCATAAAAGAACAGGCCCAAAGATAGTATGAGCTCTGAATTCACTACAAGTTCAAGCCATAAACATTTCATAATCTAGTGAGGGAGATAAATGGTACCTCTACCCCCTCAACATTTAAGTGCAGGCCCATATGATTTTTAATGAATGCCAAAGACCATTAAAGCTTTACAGATAATTTTATTGTTCAACTTCACAAAAAAAAAAATTACAGTAATGTTTGTGTGGTATTTTTTTTCAGTAACACTTAAAATTGTTTTGACATAATGAGCAATGTAATTGCTGTTCGATTTTGAGGTAGAATTTAAATGAACGGAAAATTCAGTTGTCAGCATGATGATTACACTGTCACAATTATAATAGTACATCATTGTCACCTTGCTCTAAGTGTGACCTTGTAATACACCATTGTATTAAACTGAAAACAGAATTTGTACTGTTTTGGTGGGAATGTAAAACAAGTGTAAGTGTATTGATGTTGTAACAATCAAACTGTGTATAAAGATCCTTAACTTCTGTCAGATCTGATGTTGAAATATTGGTAGGTCCATTTTCAATTTGATTCACAATACTGAACTATTGAAATGCCCGTTAAATATTTCCCTTCTATCAGTTACAGAGGTTTATCCTCTCTGTAACCTCTGTCAGTAAAATAGGTGATCTTGGTGCTATTTCTGTCAGAAAAAGAGATGAGCTCTTTGTCCCTTAGGTTAGTAGTACCGGTGTAGCATGGTATTGTGAAGCATGGTGAAATGAACCGCCCCATGGTGAAATGAACCACCCCATGGTGAAATGAACCGCCCCATGGTGAAATGAACCACCCCATGGTGAAATGAACCACCCCATGGTGAAATGAACCACTCCATGGTGAAATGAACCGCCCCATGGTGAAATGAAGGCTACCATCAATTTCTATTCCAACAAACCTTTTTTCATTCATTTTCTTTAAGTTTACTTCAATTTGATGGATTCTATCTTAAAATCACAATAATTAAGTCTGGTGTAGAGAAATTAAGGGTCGGACAGACAGACTTCAATACAACATAATGATGAAATGAAGGGGTTTTAGCATATGTTTTTTTCTATTTGTCTTTTTTAAACCAAATCTGTTTTAGTTACATCAGTTTGATGCCCTGAATAAGAAAATGAATAAAAAAAATTGGTCAGAAAAGAATTGATGGTTGCCTTCAATTCACCATGGGGAGGGTTCATAAATTGTATGACCATGGCCTTCAAATTACCATACTATACCAGTCGCCAGTCTTTGTTACTTTGGTCAGTAATAGAGGTGAGCTCTATTTTATTTTTCAAACATGTGTACATGGATTTGTAAAGTGATAATACATTGTTTTTGAAGTTTCAATGTTCTTTAATGTTGAAAGTTATTGAGGGCAAATTTTACATAGGCACAATATGCAGTATATACCTGTTCTTAGCCAGGTCATCTCTTTAGAAACATTTGACCAGGGATAGGATTCATCAGTCCAGTATGAATAATCAATGCCAAGTCTGTTCTGAACACAAATAGTAGTTGAACATTTATATTGCAAGGTTTCGAAAAAAAGGCCGGTTTCCTTTGTCAAGCAAAGAGTGATTTTGCACTCTTTGCTTAACAAAGGAAACAGACCTTTTCGAAAGCTAAGTTACTGTTTTTGTTCAAAACAAACTTAGCATTTGTTTGACCAAGGGGATTATGACAAAAGTTAGAGTAATGGCAATTATTTGAGCGGATTTTTAGTTTATGATGTGTCGGGTTCGTTTGAACGCGTTTTATTTGTGACTTTTAAGTTAAAGCAAAATTGATCAGCCTGACTCGCGTTTTCCTTACTTACGGAGCTCTCTCCTGGTTGTAGGATAAGGGAGTTGGATGTATAGGAGAAGGGGGCGCAAGTACGTGGGAGTTGGAGGAAAAGGAACTCAAAGAGGAGCAAGGTCACAAGGTCGTAGGACAAAGGTCAAAGACTACACCTCAGCCAGAAGGTTAGATTTCTTTTTTTTTACACATTAAAAAAATATCTCAATGTTCAGATGCTTTGAATATCAGAAACCTTCAGTAATGTTAATACAAATTGATACATGTTGTGAGGATAACAGTATTATTTAAGTTTTAAAATTTCATATTATTGATGGAAACTTCAATATCAGGTCGTAAATTATAAAAAGCTTAATCCCGCCATTTATAATTGACTTGCAGTGGTGGTACTAGATTCTGATAGTGAAGAGGAAGATGTGGTTATCATGGAGGGAGATCAGTTACTTACACAGCCAAGGTAAGCTCTCATGCTCTGACCATCAAACTGACCATTAAACTGACCATTACTCTGACCATCAAACTGACCATTAAACTGACCCATCAAACTGACCATCAAACTGACCATTATCTGACCATTAAACTGACCATTACTCTGACCATCAAACTGTCCATTAAACTGACCATCAAACTGACCATTAAACTGACCATTAAACTGACCATTACTCTGACCATCAAACTGACCCATCAAACTGACCATCAAACTGACCATTACTCTGACCATCAAACTGGCCATTAAACTGACCCATCAAACTGACCATTAAACTGACCATTACTCTGACAATCAAACTGGCCATTAAACTGACCATCAAACTGACCATTAAACTGACCATTACTCTGACCATCAAAGTGACCATTACTCTGACCATCAAACTGACCATCAAACTGACCATCAAAGTGGATGTACCCATATACATAAATTTGTACTAAAGAATAACAAAAAATGAAAAAGGATGATGTATCTTATTCCTTCAGTAATATAGTTTTATATCCTCTTTTTCACAGGAGTCAAGTTTACAACACAAAGAAAGCATCTTCAACAGAATCAGCAAATCTTGCACAAGTGCAAACGAAAACCAAGCCAAAGAAACGAAAAGGAAAGCCTTGATATTTGTTTGATTTGTTGCAATAAAAAGAAAATGTTATATATCGTTGCATTTCCTCTTTTAATCACTTTATATGCGCCAAGGTACTATACGTTACTGACATATACCTTGTCAAGGTATTATAAATTACTGACATACCTTGTCAAGGTATTATAAATTGCTGACGTATACCTTATCAAGGTACTATAAATTACTGACGCATACCTTATCAAGGTACTATAAATTACTGACATACCTTATCAAGGTACTATAAATTACTGACATATACCTTGTCAAGGAACTATAAATTACTGACATATACCTTGTCAAGGTATTATAAATTCCTGACATATACCTTATCAAGGTATTATAAATTACTGACATATACCTTGTCAAGGTACTATATATTACTGACATATACCTTATCAAGGTATAATAAATTACTGACATATACCTTGTGAAGGTACTATAAATTACTGTCATAAACCTTATCAAGGTATTATACATTACTGACATATTCCTTGTCAAGGTACTATAAATTACTGACATATAACTGATCAAGGTATTATATATTACTGACATATACCTTATCAAGGTACTATAAATTACTGGCATATACCTTGTCAAGGTACTATAAATTACTGACATAAACCTTGTAAAGGAACTATAAATTACTGACATATACCTTATCAAGGTACTATACATTATTGACATATACCTTATCAAGGTACTATAAATTACTGAAATATACCTTATCAAGGTACTATAAATTACTGACATGTACCTTGTCAATGTATTATAAATTACTGACATATACCTTGTCAAGGTACTATAATGACATATACCTTGTCAAGGTATTATAAATTACTGACATACCTTGTCAAGGTATTATAAATTACTGACGTATACCTTATCAAGGTACTATAAATTACTGACATATACCTTATCAAGGTATAATAAATTACTGACATATACCTTGTGAAGGTACTATAAATTACTGTCATATACCTTATCAAGGTATTATAAATTACTGACATATACCTTATCAAGGCACTATACATTACTGACATATACCTTATCAAGGTACTATAAGTTACTGACATATACCTTGTCAAGGTACTATAAATTACTGACATACCTTATCAAGGTACTATAAATTACTGACATGTACCTTGTCAATGTATTATAAATTACTGACATATACCTTGTCAAGGTACTATATATTACTGACATATACCTTATCAAGGTATAATAAATTACTGACATATACCTTGTGAAGGTACTATAAATTACTGTCATATACCTTATCAAGGTATTATAAATTACTGACATATCCCTTATCAAGGTATTATAAATTACTGACATATTCCTTATCAAGGTACTATAAATTACTGACATATACCTTGTCAAGGTATTATAAATTACTGACATATACCTTGTCAAGGTACTATAAATTACTGACATATACCTTATCAAGGTATAATAAATTACTGACATATACCTTGTGAAGGTACTATAAATTACTGTCATATACCTTATCAAGGTATTATACATTACTGACATATACCTTGTCAAGGTACTATAAATTACTGACATATAACTGATCAAGGTATTATATATTACTGACATATACCTTATCAAGGTACTATAAATTGAAAAATATACATGGCAGTTTTTAAAGAATGAAGCCAAACAATTAACATTTGGAGTATGTCGATTTGTAGAAATTTTCAAAACGATTTACAAAATTAGCACACATAATATGGAAAGAACAATATCTGATAAAAGAAATAGATAATGAAAGTGATGTTAAAACCAGGAAAAAATGCTGCTAGCTGATCTGCGATAGGAGGTATTCAAAGTGGGACAACCCGATTCACTAGTTTCAAGAGATCAGTGAGTCAAGTGATGTTACAGTCAGGCATATAACTTGAGCAAACCTAAAATTATGACATGATAAATATAATTTTTAAGTTGCCTCAAATCGACTGCATGATAGGCCTGTAATTGTGTCTGCAATGACTATTACATTACCTGCTTGCAAAAATAACTAGTATTGCTCGATAGCTGAGGAAACCCTACCATTTCTTTTTCAATTATTATTTGAAAGAGAAATATTAGCTAATCCGGCTCCATATAGTCCGAATACCCACTAATCATAAGGATACTGACCCAATTTGTCTGTATGGATTCTGAAACTTCAAGAGAATCCTTATAAACAATGTTTTATTGCTAGCCCTTCTAATTACGTTCCCAATCCGTTTTCCAAACTCCTTACAATTCTTAATACCATTTAATTAGGGTTACTGTCATATTGTGACAATGTATTGTATACTCGTGAAGTAGAATAAATATGGATATCAAAAAATGACAAAAAATCTTTTGATCAATTTTGAACATCCTCTTCTAAAAAAAGGTTTCTTCTATCAAACATTCTGACATTTCGACAGTTTGCTCTACCATTCCTCATACAAAACTGAAGAAACGCTTTTGTTCTCTTGTGAGAGTTTTCCAAGAAATCAGAATATGCTATATACATATGGCTGTAAGTTATTGTGTGGCATATTTTGTGAAAATCTTTACCAATACCTTCAATTTCACATTCAAATATATCGACAATATGCTGTCTTTAAATGACGAGATATTTGATTTGTTGACCATGTCATCGTATATTCCTTCCTGAGCTTGAAACCAAGGAAACTACAAACTCTTCTACTTCAGCCATTTTCCTCGATATTACAACTTAATTAAAAGGGACGGCTCACCACCAAGCTGCTCTAAAAGTAGGACGATTTGATTTTTCGATCGTGAACTTTCCCTTTCTTGACGGCTACGTCCCCGTTTCCCCTCCCTACGGTGTTTACATGTCGAAGCTGATTCTGTATTTTAGCGCTTGCTGCGAATATCATGACTTCTGTGATGAACGTCGACTGCTGACGGACAAATACACAGCACAGGATTCCCAAATATGCAGGTACACGTAGATGTATACTATGGACAAGCTTTATGGTCGCCATCAGGATCTCAAAGGGAAACACGCTTTTTCTTTGTGTGGTACGAAGTTCAATGTTTCTGAATATGCTTATACGCTTGCTTTGTGTGTTTTTTGTCACTACCCAAGTTCTCGGTGTGAGGACGTGACATTACTTGAATAAGACCTCAGTTTACATGGCGGGTGTCGTTGACGCTTATCCTTCTGGTAGACATGACCTTGTTTTCCTCATACTTTTTCTCCAATTGGTCTCCACGTTAATCTCTTCTTTGTCCACGTTTTATCAATTTTGAGTTTGAAATATGATTTTGTTGACACTTCCGTAATCCCATTACATAATTGATACATGTTTTTTATGAACATGTTTCTGTGTGAAGATGACGTTTTAGAATCATATTCACATGCTTTGTATTCGAAACAAACGTTTTTCTATCGCTTGTGCTACCCTCCTGCCTAGAGTTTCTTCTGTTGGTGCTACAGCGCCACCAACATTTACATAGTCAGTGCGTAGTGATTCGACTTGTGGGTCTGGTTCCGGTTGAGTACTTGTCAAAAAATGTTAAATTTATCTGTCAACCTGTTCTCTCTCTCTGATTTCATGTACCCAATAATCTCCTTGACAGGTAGAGGTTGGATTCTTGTTCTTTGCAAATCTTTGGTCAGTATGTTAACAGTATTTTGTCCTTGCAAATATCTTCCTGCCTTGCTTTCCTATCCAGGAAGTAGCGCTCGTCCGTTTTGGCACTGCACTCACTTCTCTGTCCTTCATTCAGTCTGTGTTCCTTTTCTAGGTGTGCGTTGGCTCTATTTGACTCGTGCTCAGAAGGCTCTTCTTGATATTCCTCTAATACTTAATTGTTCACCAGGAATTGCTGGGAAACTCATTCCTTGTTGTTTTCCCCTAAAATCTTAAGTACTCTCGCTATGTTCCAACATTCCACTGTTGTCGTTCTCCTCCGTATCTACTGCAGTTATTGTTTCAAATCGCATACAGCAAACTTTGTTTCCCTGTGTGTTCTGCGCGGAAGGTGTTCACCTCTTTTTTAATGTTGCAAATCTGCAAGCAGCTCCTCATTGCCGTTTATCAACTGTGTGTGCGTGTTACATTAATCTTTTAAGATACGAGGTGGTAGACCCTGCTGGTGAATTGTTTAGTCCCCGAGGTTTGCTATAACCTTTGACGGCCACAGTTATCTCTTTTGAGTAGTGGCACGGTTCATACTATACATGCTTTACAGATTATTCATTTGAAATTAGAATGTATTTCTCTTAACGTTTAAATTAACAAATTAGGGGGTTTACTCACCTGCCCCTCTGTTTTAACAGTAGTTAAGACAATTTAGATTTCCGACCATTTGGCCCCGAGCATCACCTGATGAGTTCGAGATGGATGAAACAGCTGTATGATAATTAAGTGTAATTCATTTTGACATGCTGTATATCTATTGCAAAAAAGTGTGTTACGTCCATCTGGTCTTGTACAAAAATGTCAAAACTCTGAATTTAAACTGCATGGACAAGGATCCAGAATCAGCTTCGATAGACAATATACAAATTACTATTGAATAAAAGATATTTTTGGGAGAAAAAAAAACATGTTAAAAATTAGTATTAACGTCTCGATCAGCGTATCAGCCTTTTAACTGGTGCGCCCCGTTGATCAAATAACATGTCGGTATATATTCTGTTTTGAAAATGAGTGTTTTTCCAATAGATTCGTAGCCAAAAAGGAAAACAATATATTTATAAAACGAAAGTTGTATCTACCTAACGAGCAATTTGTTTGGAAATGTAATAACATGCGTACTGATTCGCTACAAAATTTGCATTAGCAAGAATTGTTTTGTTTTCTTCAAAACCGTGTATAACGATAGCTTCCAGATTCAACATGTGATAATGGCCAAGTGAAGTACTTTAATAAATAAAAAAGCCCAGTTTGGTCACAAAAGAACGAGAAGAAACGTAGAAAGGGGATATACAAAATGGAGGTAAATTTGTCTTTTATCTGTTTTTTTTTGTCTGCGATCACGTGGTCCATTGTGAAAGAACTAAAATAATAATAATAGATCTTTT